GCTTTTGGTCCATTTGCCCAGATACTGCTGAGGGCTTCCTAAGAAGGGGGTAGGTTTGTTTTTGTTTGAAGTCATGACTTCTCCATTCTGTCTTCTTTATCAGAAATAGCCTTTTTCCCTTCATCGAATTCCAAGAAACACATTTTCTGCAAAACTTTGTCTAAAAAAATTCCAAGGTCAAGCCACACCAAAAGATGGTAAGTCACCAGCACAGAGTCATGCGACACAGCTAGTTTTGCCCTATCATGAAGAATCTCATTTTCTCTCCCTCTCGGACTCTCTACCTGGGTGCATTAGCAGCCTTGTTGCTCAGCCCCTCCGCTCTCAAATAACACGTGCCTCTTGTCATGCTGCCCTCCAGAGTAGCAAACCCAATTTTAAAGTACCATCTGTGCCCTCTCGTTTAGGCCCAGCACTGTGCTGGAGTCCTCTTCTTGCCCGGTCCCTCTGGTAGTCATAGTTCTTTCCAGGGGTTCTCAGGGATGGCAGCGTATAACCAAGGGGCATGTATGCATGCACGCACAGCCATGGGCAAGGACAACAATGTGAGGAAGGCTGGGAGAGGGTGGCTGGGGGCGGAGGGCGGCAAAGTGGGGGGAAATGGGGGACAGCTCTAATAGTGTCAATGATCAAAAAAGAGATTTCTTGGGAAGTAGGTTATTTTTCCGAAGGGCTAGAGTCCCATAATATTCATTGATCTATATTCTCAAATGCTAAGTCATGAATCTGAGGGCAGTACTTCATGAATCCCAGATGAGTGTCTGATACTTGTCTTAAGAGGGATTAGTAAAATGAGGAGCACTTAATTGGAGGTGACGGTCATCCCGTCCTGGACCACAGGGCTTCCAGATTGTCTGCACCCATCTGCTTGAGTGGAGGCTAGACCGTTGGTTTAAAACCTCCAATTCATTTTGCATGGAAAGCTTTGGCAGGAAAGGGAGGTAGGAAATAAGTCCGTATGCATGGTTGACTCTTGGGCTATAAATAAACCGCAGCTGGTGAAGAAACACCCACGGCAGCACCTGCAGGAGCTGATATAAACATTCCAAAGAGGCATGTGTGGTTGGCCAAACTCTACTCCAGGAATAAATGGGCCTTGGGATTCATTTGAGAAACAAAACTGGAAGTAGTGGAGGAGGGGCCTCCTACTCCAGGGGCATTCTGTGCAAACCGAGTAATTCTGGATTCGGAGCCCACAAACGCTAGGCAATCGGAACTGGGGAACCCGCCACTCACAGTGGATCTTGTGAGGCCCTGGTCTGGGGCTTGCTGGGTCTCCGTGCAGGGCCTGGAGGCAGAACGTCTGTATTCTCAGCTACCCTGCACCTTGTGTTGTTTAGTCCCTTATTCCAGCCCTGAACAGCAGAGACCTTGAGAGCAATGCTGAGCAAGTCCAGTAGAATACTTTATGTCTAAATTGATACACACGCATATTTTTTAGAGCTAGGTAACCCCCATACCTTATGCTATATCTCTGGTCCAGGGCCATGCCTGAAACAATTTTGGCTTTTGAATGCCTTTGCAGAAAACCTCTTCTTGCCCTCCCAGTTCGGAATGTGACATTCTGCCAGTTTTACAAACCTGTCTATCACAGTGGGTATGTATTGTGAGCTTTTCCCTGAGTGCAGAGAAAAGGTTAATTAAAGATGGAGGCTTTTGTAAGTGAATTTCATTCACATACATACCCAAAGTGACAGTTTTTCAAATACATATGTATATTTATATGAATGTAAGATTTAGAAAATATATTTATTATATTTTAATGTATATAAGATATAAATACACAATTACATACATGCCTTTACGTATATATACTTTTAGAGTATATATACACATATGCCCAGATACACATCGAACACATTACAATGCGTCTTTGTGGGGATAAAGTGCATGGGAATGGGGATTGGAGATGAAAAAAGAGAGAGAGGCTTTTCATGCCCCAGTGATGATATACCTGAGACCTAAGCTCAACTAAAGATGGGGAAGGATTTTCTCACCTGGGGAGAAGAGGTGGGAGAATATATCAAGCAGAAGGAATGACATACAATTTATTCACTTCCTAATGCACTCAACGCATACTGACAGAGCACCTACTATGTGCCCAACACTGCGCTAGGCACGCAGGATGTGAGAGTACACAGGGCAGACATCAACCCCGACTTCGCCAGGCTCTGATCAAAGCACGTGACATATACAAAATGGTTCTCACAGTAGCCCCATGAGACAGGTGGCTGCCATTTTCACCCCCAGGTAAGATAACGGTCGAGTTCTGGTGCATAGGGGTGAGATAACGCGCCCAGCGCCCCTCAGCCAGGAAGTGGCAGAGCCAGGGTGTGAATGTCAGCAGTATGGCGTTGCAGCTCACATGAGCACAGACTTAAGTCACTCCCCATGCTGGCCTATACACAGACAAAAGCAGTACGTGGGTTAAGTACTGATGCAACGCAAAGGCTCCAAGTTCTCCAGCTTTCTCCTGTCCCTTTCACTTGATTATTAAATGGTCGGGTTCCATCCCCATCCCAGCAACAGCAGGAAGTCTGGTCCATTTTCCACCGTTAAAAAGTCTTTGGGGGTAAGGCGCAGTGGGCAAATGTCCAGCATTCAGTCAGTACTGCTGCAAACACCCTACTCTAAACCTGATTCTGGACATGGCTAGCTTTTCTCTCCGCCCGTGTCAACTCTGGGATGAAATATCACGTGGTGCCTTTTGCTCTGTACAATCCCCCTGCTCCCCTCCCCCCAGCCCAGGACTATTTATAAGAGATATTTGCAGCAGAGTTTATTATACCTTTTCTTACATGTATATTAAAGGGAGCTAATGGGGGAAAATAGAAGTCTGCAGGAAAGTTCAGTACAGATACCGACTTACGGGAATTCGGGTGTTATCATCTTGAAAGTCCACCAGCCGATGTTGTGAGCCTGGGAGGGCTCAGCCCCAGCTTGCTACCAGATGCTCTGGCCTCCTGCTCTTCGTAAACACTCTTTCTGTGGCATGGCAGTCTCCAAACCTGAAAATCCTCCTGGGTCTTCTGTGCAGTGCGATTTCTCCTCCCCAAACAGACCCAGTGGTTTGGGGTGGAAGGAGGGTGTGCGCAGAACATGCTCCACAGACGAGCGATTCAGAAACATTCCCTAGGGCCTGAAGGTTGCTACAGTCAGTTCTTGCTTTAAATAGGTGGTGTTCCTCTCTACACCATCCCGGAGGAGACGACAAAGTGCAGCTGGCGCACACAGGATGGGCGTCTAACCTAGACTGCAGGTGTGGTGGAGGAAGGGCCAGAAGACGCGATAGCTCTACACTGAGCTCTTGAGGACAAAGTGAAGCCAGGTGGAGGGGACCCGGGGAGGATAAAAGCATTCCAAGCCAAACAGCCTAATAATCCCGAGCCCAGGGCTGAAGAAATACCCATTGAAGAACCCCCCACTCCCAAGGTAGTTTTGTGTTATTAGAGAGTGCAGATTAATAAAGAGGGGGGCGAGGAAATGTGAGTAGAGTCCTGGTAACCAGACAAAGGAGCCAGAATTTATCTGAAGGTAGGGATGATCCGTAAAAAGAATTTTATAGAAGACTATTGTAATCAAACTTTCCTCCCCGCTTCTTTCTCATTTCTCTCCCTCCCCTCTCTTTCTTTCTTTCCTTCTCTCTCCCTCTCATTCTTTCTTTCCTTCAGAAAGACCATGGTGGTTGTGATGTGGAGAATAAATTATTGCAGGAAAGTAAGAGTGGAAGTCAACATGGGTAATGGTTGTGGGACCAGAGAAAAGGGAGCTGGGTTCAAGAGTTATTCAAGATTCGTCTGGAGAGAGGGGAAGCAGTGAGGGAGAAACAGGCATGAAGAATTGGCCACTGGATGGGTTGAGGGTGGAGTGATGGATTCGCTAGGACTGGGAATCAAAAAGGAAGGAAGTAGTTGCATGGGCACCAGTTACATTCAACTTTGGACCTGCTGAATAATGAGATTCCCAAATGGAGACGGCCGGAGGGAAGTGGCACGTGTATACCTGGAGCTCATCTTGAGATGGAGCTGGGCATCGTCATCAAAGGCGGTAATTGATGACGCTGGAGTGGGTCACGTTACCTCCCTACTTACCGTGGCCACATGGGAAGACAAAAGGGCCATAAGCCAAATGGCAACAAATACCATTGTTTTGGGGATGGACAAGGAAAGAGGAGCCCAACATGAAGACTGAAGATGACATGAAGAGCTGGAAAGCAGGACAGAGAAACAAAGATAAAGTGTTTAAGGAGGCACGGAACGGTCAGCCGCATGAGAGCTGGGAGACATGTTCTGGAAAGGGCTCTCCTGTGACTTACCCTTCCCTGACCTCACTGTGCGCTTCTCGGGCCATCGTGGGGCGTGAACTTTGTGCTTAGCAAAGACTTCTTGACCGACAGCACGCAGCCCTTCCTCCCTCCCTCCCCAAATATTGTGAGTCCACGCTCCTTTCATAGAACAGACGTTGTTTTCCTTTGTGAGGGACATCTTAATAAAAACGTTAGAAAATCTGAAACGGAGTCCTCTGTACAGATAAATATGGCAGCGATTAATTTCTTGGTATGCCCTCTCATTACATGGGAAATGCAATATGCTTTAGAAAGGGGAGACTTTTCTCCTTTCTCTTTTACTGCCTCCTAGGCTGCACAGGCGAACCTCTTACTCCCTAAAGCAATGAAACACTTGAATAATTTATTACTCATTAATACATACAGGAAACAGGCACTGCTGTGTGTTGAAAGGCATAGATCTCTCTGAGTGGCCTGCTCACAGAGTGGCTGGTGTTCTTTAATGTGCTCAAGCTGCAACTAGGGGTTCACGATTGCTGGACCTTGTAGTCCACAGGGCGGTTTCTGGGGGGACTAAGGTGCATTCAGAATCAGTTGACTTCTAAAAGTCTTGTCACTGTTCCAGAGGTTGGGTATCTAGCCAACCCCACAGAAAGAAAACATAAGTTGGGAAGAGACTTCTTGTAGTTAAAAACAGGAATAGAAACACTTTCACTTCCTTTAATTAGTGTGAAATTTATTTGCTCAGGCTTGTGAGTAATTGGAAATTGCCTTTTTTTTTTGTTCCATTCAAACACATCTTGGTCCGCAAAACACTTACTGCCAACTAGAACATCTGTGGCTTTGGCAGCCACATGTACTCTCCCCACAAGAGAAAATACATCCCAGCTGGTTCCGTCCTTCAGAGCAGTGGTCCCCGACTTTTTTTTGCACCAAGGGCCGGTTTTGCGGAAGATGGAAGAGGCTGGCGGCGGTGGGGGTAGGGGCTGCAGTGCAGGTGGCACAAGCAGGAGGCAGAGCTCCGAGCTCAGTTGAGCTTCAGGCTCTGGCCCTCAGTGCAAGGGGCGGGGAGAAGATGGGAGGCGGAGCTCAGGCTGGCTTCGCGGGGCAGGGGCAGCGGTGGGGCGGGGCGGGGCGCTGGGGACCCCTACTCCAGAGGATGGGAGCTGCTGAACAAGATGGAATTAGCTTGAAGGCTGGCTCCACGAGGATATCATCCATGCGCTTTCAGGTGCTCTTTGAGACCCAATCTTGGATAAAAGTTAGAAATGATCCCTAGAACATGTTTGTTTACTTAACTCATTGTTCTCCGATGTAAGAAGATGAAGAGCATCCCATTCTCCCACTTTTTCATTTGTGTGGTTGTTTTTTTTCATCCCCCTCCCCCCCAAGATTAAACTCGCCTGGGTCCACCTATTATCAGCTTCCTCGGGATGCCCTCCGTCTGACGTTTTATCCGGCGTTCCTCTGCCTCTGTGCAGGGTCATCCGATGCATGTGCACAGCCTGCTCCGCTCCTGTGTGTAAAACCATGGAGAAGATACTATCAGCGACTACCTACACATCACTCGCAGAGATTCACAGTTCTTGGAAACACTTTTCTTTTTTCCACAGATGAGTTGGTGGCCTTAAAAAAAAAAAGACAAACAGAAAATGAAACCACTTTCCACATTTGCTTTCCCTTTGCCATAGCCGTCAGAGATTCCAGAGCCCAAGATGCGGTGGCAGTACCGTAAGCTAGTGGGTCCTTTACCTGATGACGCCTGTCCTTTCCGCTTGGCGTCCCGACGGCTCCAGTGCTGGAGCCCGGGCGGCCTTCCTCCCGACGGCCTTCCTCCACAGGCGAACCGCTTCCAAGCTTGGTTCTGCCTCCTGCTGCTTGCGTGAAGCCACTCTTGACCTCCGTGTGCCTTAGCTTCCAGTGAAAGACGGACCGAGGACTGCTTCTTTTATCAAGTTATCTGTGACATTTAAATGAGAGTCTGCACTGTGGCCTGCAGTGGGAACTGGAGATAAGTGAATTTACTTTCTTTATGATGGACCATCTCCAGTTTTATTCTGCTGGGTTTAAATCTGTCCACGGGCAGGGGCTGCCTGGGAGGACCAAGTATGTCTTTGCAGCTAGAACTGAAAGGCCCTGGGGAGAAGGCCTGCGGGAAGCCCAAAAGTTCTTTGCAGTCTCCTGCATGCTTTGAAAATTGAACTTTCCTTGTACTTATTTGTAGCACAGCATGGTTTTAGAAACCTGTTCAACATGTTGCTCCAAGAAGCCATTACCGATGGATGGTGTCCCGATGTTTTCACTTAAAAACTTGTGCGTGTCTTTCTGAATTTCTCTTCTAGAATAAGATAGTAATTCATGTGGCTTCTTCCACTGTCTCCCCTCTGATCTGTAGCGTACTTAAGAAATCAATTTCCAAATGGCAAGATCAGGATTGGCTCTGGCCATGGAACATGTTTTTAAAAGCAGTTGTCAGGGACTCAAAGCCAACAGGAAAATTAATCTTAAATTATAATCTCTATTTTATTGTTAATGTCTTAATTGGCAAGTCACAAGTATTATTTAGTTCCCCAGTGGATTTTTTTGATGCAAAAAAAATGGAGACTTTGGAACTGAAAATAAAAGATCTGGCCTTGCCAGTAACTATTAATCTGACTTTGGGAAAACGACTTAATTTCTCCGAGGCTAAGATTTCTTAGCTGTAAAATGAGAATCTAAGTCTCCGTGACTCAGTTTCCTCATCTGTAAGGGGTGAACTGTAGTACTACCTGACAAGGCTGAGATTGTTATGAGGACGCGATGATTTAGTATTGCAAAGCACTTGGAACAGTGCCTGGAATGCACTAAGTCCCTCCTAAGTGTCTGTCAGTTAGTTGACTGACTGACTGACGGCGAGCCAGTCCCCAGTGGAGGAAGCACGGGGAGGAGTGTAGGGCAGCTGTTCCGAAAGAGGAGCATGATCTCTGGAGACAGAGGGGTTGGATTGTGATGCCACAACTTGCTGACCGGATGCCTGCACACGTAGGTTTTCCCATCTGGAGAATACGCTCAGCGGTCACATTGAGGAATGGTTGTGAGGGTTAGCTAACTAACTGGGGTAAAGAACCTCACATACAGCCTGGAACATGGGAGGAGAGAGTAGATTAGAAAAGTAACTATTTAGCATTAACCTTAGAAAACAAAAAGGTAGAAAAGAGGTAAATTCATAGCAGGAAGGATGTGGGTTAGTCAAGAGGAAGATTCCCCCGGCAGTACATCCCATAAAAGGCTGGAAGGGTGCACGGGGTGGGGGGGGGGTGGACTCTCCCTTAACGACAAGGTAATTAGGCACCTGAACCAGTCTGGCTGGGGAGGGTGTGCATTCCAGGGACAGAGTGTACAACACCATCCCTCTCTCCCGCACTCCTTTCCCTTCCTTTCTTCCACACTGACTGCGTGCCTGTGATGTGGAAATGGTACCCAGGGAGCAGTGGTGCACCTTTGACTGGAAACCAGTCCCTCTCCGTCAAAGGGCCACTCTTCAGCATCTGTGATTGGTCAGTGGAGAAACTTTGCTGGCTAAACAGAAACTGCCGATACCGAGAAAGTCAATGAAGCCTGCGATGCGGACACAGATCTTTATTCCTACAAGGCACCCTTCTTCTCCTGGCTCTTCCAATCAATCGGCTAAGACATAAGCACTGAGGGGCCATCGTGAGTGCTGGGAATATAAAGTTCATTATGACAGAGTCCTGCCCTCCGGGTGCTCGCTGTGGCATGGGACAGAGGGACATACACACAGACAGTCGCAGGCGTCTTTGATGTCCTGGAACAGGGACAACAGCAGCGAGCTGAAATATAGAGTAGAGAGGACCTACGTTCTCCTAGACACATCAGGTCCGAGGGCTGAGGGAGAGAAAGGAGGATTCAAGTGGACTTCAAGGTGTCAGGCTGAGTCATTTGATGGGTAATGTAACCAATACCACGTCCTGGAATACGGAAGTAGGTTTGTGAAAAAAATACCATGTAGTTTGAACAGCTGAAGTTTGAGAAAGTGTTTTTAGCTATTTCAAGTTGCAGTTATTATGAATAACAATGCTGTGAGCATGGCCATACAAATATGTACAAAAAAAGTTGCTTTCAATTGTTTTTAGGTATATATCCAGAAGTGGAATTTCTAGATCATGTGGTAATTCTACTTTTAAGGGTTTTTTTTGAGGAATTGTCATACTGTTTTTCATAGTGGCTATACTGCCAATAGTGCCTAAGAGTTCCAACCTCCCCACATCCTTATCAACACTTGTTATTTTCTGTGTTTTTTAAAAAACTAGTAGCCATTTGTAGTGGGCGTGAGATGGTATCTCACTGTGGTTTAGACTCGCATTCCATAATGGTTAGTGATGCTGAGCATTTTTACATGTGTCCATTTGCCATCTGTATATCTTCCCTAGAAAAATGACTATTCAAGTCCTTTACTCATTTATGAACTGGCTTTGATTTTTTGTTGTTGATTTGCAGTAGTTCTCATATTCTAGATATTAATGCCATGTCAGATATATAATGTATACATTTTCCCCATTCTGTAGGTTTACCTTTTCACTCTGTTGGTAGTGTTCTGAATGCACATTAAAAAAATTTAATTCCAATTTGTCCATTTTTTTCTTTTGCAGCCTGTACCTTTGGTGCCACACCCAAGAGATAATTGCTAAATTCAATGCCCTGAACTTTTGTCCTATGTTTTCTTCCCAGAGTTTTATAATTTAGCTTTTAGCTTTAGGTACATTTGAGTTATTTTTTGTATGTGGTGTTAGGTAAGGATCCAACTTTATTCTTTTGCATGTGGATATTCAATTTTCTTAACACCATTGATTAAAGAGATTATTCTTTATTCATCATGAGGCCGTGGCAACCTTATCAAAGATTATTTGAATATACATGTGAGGGTTTATTTATAGACTCTTTATGCTATTCCATTGGTCTATATGTCTATCTTTATGGCAGTACTGTAGCGTTTTGATGACTATAGCTTTATAGTAGGTTTTGAAGTCACAGTTTGAAGAAATGTGAGGCCTCCAGCTTTGTTTTTCTTTGCCAAGATTGTTTTAGCTACTTGCATTCCTTTGAGATTTTTTGCATGAATTTTAGCCTCCGTGGGGGCATTCCTGCCCAATGGCTCTGTGGGGTGATCTCACACACCAAGAAATGGAAAGACCTCCCATGTTCACTAACTGGAAGCTTTCATATTGTTTAGATGTCAATACTATTGAAAGAGATCTACAGATTCAGAAAAATAACAGCCTCTGTCAGAATCCCAAGCGAGGTAATGGCTGAGGAGGGATGACTGGATTTGAAAGACTGTGGATGGATGGAGGTGGGAGCCATGTTGAATGTGGCAATGGGGAAAGCCCAGCCGAGCAGAGAGGCTCCAAAGCTTAATCACTGTGGGTTTCAAAAAACTGAAACTTGAAAGATAGTCACCAAAGAGGGTTTGGAAAAAGGGCTGATGAAATCGTATTTGTGTAAATGGACAGAAATCTGCTCATCAAAACAATTCCAGCACAATGTGTCAGCTTTTGTTTACTGCTGCTGCTTCCAGGGACGCTTGTGTGGCTAACAGAAGGCCAGAATTCCCTTCTTCAGCCTGTAAATTCCACTTACCCTTGATTTTCTGAACTTCCTTTGGCATCCCATTCTATGTCTTTAGGGCTTTAGAAATTTCTCCTTGGGCAGTATTATGTTTTCATGTTTCTTATTTCAATCTTAATGTATTAACTCATCTTTACATACCTTATCAGTCAGAATTGAAAGAAATGAACCAAGTGCTGGAAGCAGCCTAGGTGCTCATCAGTAAATGAGTGGATCAATAAACTGTGGTACGTTTACACGATGGAATACTACGCAGCAGAAAGAAAGAAGGAGCTCCTACCCTTCGCAACAGCATGGATGGAGCTGGAGAGCATTATGCTGAGTGAAGTAAGCCAGGCGGTGAAAGACTAATACCATATCATTTCACCTATAAATGGAGCCTAATTAACAAAACAAACAAGCAAGCAAAATATAACCAGAGACACTGAAATTAAGAACAAACTGACAGTGACCAGAGGGGAAGGGGGAGGGAAATAATGTGGGAAAGAAGGGGAAGGGTCATCAATGAACATGTATAAAGGAGCCATGGACAAAGCCAAAGGGGGTTAGGATTGAGGGTGGGAGGTGAGGATGGGTGGGGCGGGGGAAAGTGGTGGTGGGAAAATGGAGACAACTGTATTCGAACATCAATACAAAATATTTTTTAAAAAAGAAACAAGCAAAGAAGTGGTCCTTAGGAGGTCAAGATGTTGGGTCTGACTACAGTAGAGACAGTTAATTTTGCTCGGATCCAAGGCCAGAGGATGCACTTACTCATCACCTTAGCCAGCAGCCCCCCTCTGTGCATGATTCTGGCCATTAAGAAATAGAGGACAGATGTGTGAAAGGGGATGGGCCAGCTTATTCTTAGTTGCAGAGAGAATTCCCATTGTGCGTAACATTTGACTCCAA